TTTACAATAGGTCAAAGAAAAATGTATACTTAAAATATATATTGACCAGATTATATTATGTAAAGAGAAAAAAGTATTATATAGATAATATTCAAAACATGTTATAAAAATTCATTTATTATTTTAATATAAATTTTACATTTGTAATTATATGTTACTGTAAACGCTAGAAACAATAAAAAGTTTTTAAAAGAAACAAAACGATATGAAACGTTTGTGTGATTGTTGTTGAACACTAAAATTGTATATGTATAAAAACATAACATATACATATATAATATATTAGAAAATTAATAACCTTAAATATCAAAACTAATTATGTCTATAAAAAATAACCTGCACATGCATACATGCCAAAAATAAAAATTAAATAAATTATTATATATTTTAGTTTTTCTCTATTTATTTTGTTATCATATTTACATTTTTATCAAAAGAAGTATTTTAAAATCTTAGTTAATATTTTTTTCTCTTTATTTTCTATTGAAATATATAATATTTCATATTTTAATTTATTGTTATTTTTTTTATTAAATATCTATTATTTTTTATTAATACATAATTAATCATATACAAATAAAATATCTTTAATACTATATTAATCATAATTGTATAAAATGTTTTATAGCCGATCACCTAGTACATCATTATTTGTTGTTTAGCAAACTTTGTGAAACAGTTTTCTAATTTTATTTTCAACTTAATTAGGTCTAATGAAGCAAGCATGATTGAAGAAATCGCTAATGATGTTTTGGATAAACTGGATTTATCTCCACCAAATGATTCTGAGGACTTTGTTGGAATTGAAGATCATATCATGAAGATGAGCTCATTGTTGAACTTGGAAGCTGGGGAAGTGAAGATGGTTGGGATATGGGGTCCTTCCGGAATTGGCAAGACGACCATTGCAAGAGCTCTATTCAATCGACTCAAGCGTCAGTTTCAAAATAGTGTTTTCATAGACAAGGTATTCATATCTAAGAGTATGGAAGTTTATAGGAGAGCTAATCTAGTTGACTATAACATGAAGTTGCACTTGCAACGAAATTTTCTAGCTGAAATTCTAGACAAGAAGGATATAAAGATAGATCACATAGGTGCAATGGAAAACATGCTAAAGCACCGAAAAGTTCTTATCGTTATTGATGATTTGGATGATCAAGACGTGGTAGATGCCTTGGCGGGTCAAACCAATTGGTTTGGATGTGGTAGTAGAATCATTTTGGTTACAAAAGATAAGCATTTTTTAAGGGCTCATGGAGTTGATCATATCTACGAGGTTGTTCTCCCATCTAAAGATCTCGCTCTTGAGATGTTTTGTCAGTCTGCCTTCAGGAAGAAGTCTCCACCTGATGGCTTCATGGAGCTTTCTTCTGAAGTTGCCTTTCTTGCTGGCTATCTTCCTTTGGGTCTTAACGTTTTGGGTTCGTATTTACGGGGTAGAGATAAAGAGGATTGGATAGATATGCTACCACGGTTTCGAAATAGTTTGGATGGTAAAATTGAGAAAACACTAAGAGTGAGTTACGATGGGTTAGGCAATAAAAAAGATAAAGCAATATTCCGTCACATTGCATGTCTTTTCAATGGTGAAAAAGTTGATGACATCAAGTTGCTGCTAGCAGATAGTAACCTTGATGTTAATATTGGGCTTAAGAATATTCTTGATAAATCCCTTATCCATGAAAGATATAATAATACTGTGGAGATGCACTCTTTGCTGCAAGAAATGGGCAAGGAGATTGTCCGTACACAATCCAATAAGCCTGAAGAGCAGGAGTTTCTTATGGATTCCAAGGATATCTGTGACGTACTTAAAAATAACACTGTAAGTTCTTTTTTTCATGCGCTTTTCATATATCTTACAATATAAAAACTATTACACATTTCATTTGATAAACGAAGAATTTGAAGGAATGCTTTTGACATATTGGTTTTAAGTCTCCTTTATATTTGGTATGATAATTTCAGGGTACGAAAGAGATTTTAGGTATATCATTGGATATAGACGAGATTGATGTACTTCATATTGATGAAAGTGCTTTCAAAGGGATGCACAATCTCCTTTTTCTAAAACTTTACAGTAAGAAATCTATACAAATAAAGTTTGGTTTCAAAAAGTTGGACTGTTTGCCCCCTAAACTTAGATTATTGGAGTTTGACGAATACCCAATGAGATGTCTACCTTCAAACTTTTGTCCTAAAAACCTTGTTAAGCTCCAGATGCGGAACAGCAAACTCCGGAAGCTGTGGAAAGGAGCTCATGTAAGCTTTTAGTAAAATTATAATTTGTATATTACTTTTCATATGAAAATTCTTACAAGTGATGTGTAACTTAGTTACTTGTACTTCAGTCACTTGTAGGGCTCAAGAAAATGGATTTATCCGGATCTTCTTACTTAAAAGAAATTCCAGATCTTTCGATGGCCACTAATCTCAAGACCCTTAATCTCCGCTATTGCTCAAGTTTGGTGGAGCTTCCCTCCTCTATTCAGTATCTCAATAAACTGTATAAGTTGGACATGTCAAATTGCTATAAACTAGAGACTCTTCCCACTGGAATCAATCTCAAGTCTCTGTATCGCCTGGATCTGTCTGGATGCTCACGGTTGAGGAAGTTTCCTGATATCTCAACCAACATCTCAAAACTCTATATAGGCGATACATCGATCGAAGATATCCCATCTAACTTGCATTTTGAGAATCTTGTCGATCTTCTTTTGAACAGAGTGCCGCGTGTAAAGGTAATATGTAGTTTAGTTAATGTTTTCTCCTACTCTTGTTTGTCAAATTTCTTAAACGCCGTGGAAATGATTTTTTTTTTCTAGAGGAAAAAAATATATATATAGTCTGTGTAGTAAGTAACCAATATGGTTTTTTAAAATTACGCATGTGAGATTCTCTGGGAGTTTCTCATAGGAATCTCATCAACAATCACGATTTCTCAACGATTCTTGAATTTTCAATGAACATTTTAAGAAGACCTCATCAACAATCTGGATTCTTACGAAGGAGCTAAAATGAAGGTCATGAAGAAGAAGTCTGCCAGATTCATCATTACAGTGAAGGTAATCACTTTTTTTCATTGTTAGAGATTTTAATCTTTCTCATAGCCATTCGTGTAGTCTTTTTTTTGGGGGGGGTAAAATGTGACCATTCGTGTAGTTTTTTTTTTTTTTTTTTTGCTGTTCATGGAGATTGATAGCTCTATTCTTCCAGAATTTTTTAGTAGATACTTTGGCATTTAATTTCCGAGTCTTAGAAAGATGTAATAGCTAGTAGGACTGTGATAGACATTCGTTTTTTTTTCTGAACTTGATAAAATATAAAGTCTTAATCTTAATAGTCTAAAACTTAACATGTATTTGTGCTGCCATAACGGTCAGCGATGAATGTCTAATCTGTCAATTTTAATGAATATGTAACATTATGATTATTACAATGAGAGCGTTCTTAATTAGCTTCATTTGCTGCATCTGAAATATGGCCCTGTTGTATCGGTGGCTAGAACCTCTGTTTCTGGTCACTTGTTTTTTTTTTTACCGGCAGAAAATGAAACTCCTACTGTTACTTTAACCCATGTTGACATTTCGATTCTCTAACAATCTGCTGAATTTTCATTTTCTGTTGGTTCGTATGTTTCAAACACGGTTTGGTTTGTTACTGTGTTCAGGAAAGCTAGAGGAGGCCAAACAGTATTGATTCAAGAGTGTGTAGAAAGTTCAAAAAATTCGTTTTTGATTTACACTTTAGTTTACCAAATGAATATCGTGTACTGTTACATTATACTTAAAAAGTAGATTTTTATTTTCCGGTTTTGGTTTGTTCATTTTCATTGTAAAATAAATTTTCTTTAGTATTATGAATATTCTTTTGTGTGTGTGTGCAATATTATTATGAAATTCATCCAGTGAAGAAGTGCCTTCATATTACACTTTAGTTTACCAATTTATTTTATATTTTTGAAACTCATTTTACTATTTTTTTTATAAAACTGATTGGTAACCTTACAGAATGGTGGAATCATGTTTTTGCTTAAAAATAAAAATTTTCATGTTTTTAAAAATAACAAAATTGGATTGTAGTTTTTTAGAAATGAAATCATGTAAAATTGAGAATTCCATGAAATTTCACAAAATTGTTACTAATTACAAAAAAAAAAATTGAAAAATCATTCCACTTGTTCCATTCATTTCACAAAAAAAAAAATCTTAAAAAAAATTTATTCTACTTTAAAAATGCTAGAAAATAAAAGAAATTCAATTTTCATTTCATTTCACATTATTTTATTCCACATAAATAAATTACATTTATTCCTTATATTCTAATTTGTTATTACTTATCACAATTATCTTGCAGATTATTTGTGGAATCAATATTATATATTATTCATTTATATACATTATATTTTATTATTTAAATATGTAAAAACAAATAATTTTGTAATACAAAAATTTATTTAACAATAAAATTATGTCTATTATTTAAGTTTTGAAATATTTTTATATTTTATATAATTTTTATTATTTTGAAAACAAATAATTTTTAAAAAATATATTTTTTAATTATATTTAATTATATCATTTTATAATTAATCTGAATATTAATATTCAATTATTATGATATCAAATAATATATAAAATATATTTTATTTTTAAATAACTATATTTTATTATTTAGTTATTCTACAAAATTTATCTAATCGTATTAGAAATATATATATATATAATAATAATTTTATAATAAATTATTTTATAATTCTTTTTTTCACCCTTCCATAATTTTGCAATAAAAAAATATGTTATCAATCGAGTACAAATGACGAAAGATAGTCTTAAGTAACTCTAACTTTGGCTAAAATTGATAGTTCTGAAACGTTTTTTTCATGGTTCAAAATATCAGGAAACGTAAGGCTGTTAGAGTAAATAGTAAATACTAATACCCCTCGAAAAGCCCTAAACCCATCAGCCCTGTGTACCTGATTATTTCGAGGAAAAGTCTCCGGCCGGCGTTTCTTAATCCCCGGCATCAATGGCCATGCTCTCGCACCGTCTCCGGCGAGTTCTATTCGCCGTACCTTCCTGTTTCCAAAGATCCTTCTCTAAACCTTGTGGTTCCGATTTCACTTCCGTGCCATCGCTGTTACCGCGATCCGTGGTGAAGCCGCCGACGGAATTCGGTCGATCACCGGCGAGATTCTTCTCGACGACTCAATATCAGTACGATCCTTACACTGGAGAAGATTTGTTCACTCCCGATAACGAAGGATGCGATTTTAACCACTGGCTAATCACAATGGATTTCCCCAAGGAGAATCCTCCATCTCGGGAAGAAATGATCTCCATCTTCGAGCAAACCTGCGCTAAAGGGCTTGGTATAAGGTTCGAATTCCAATTTTTTTGTGTTAATTTCATCCTTGAAATGTTTCTGCTTCTGTGATTTTTGAAATCAAACACAACAGATGCATTTTTCTGGAATTGACTTTGTTCTGGTTGTGATTTGATGTTGCGATTCTTCAGCTTGGAAGAAGCTAAGAAGAAAATATATGCAATTTGCACAACTAGTTACCAAGGTTTTCAAGCAACTATGACTATAGGAGAAGTAGAAAAATTTAGAGGTGTGTGTTGTTTCAGTTTATCCTTTTAAGATGGAATATGTTTCGATCTTAATTTGTTGACATTTTGATTTTTTGTTTTCCTGGTTGTTTATGAATAGATTTGGCCGGGGTTCAATACATAATCCCTGATTCTTATGTTGATGTAGAGAACAAGGTGTATGGAGGTACGTTGTTAGTTTCTAAAATCTTTCTTACTGTGGAGAGTCTGTTTTATAAGTAAGTCGTGTGATTTAAACTTTCATTTTCTCAGGAGACAAATACGAGAATGGAGTGATCACACCTGGTCCAGTTCCAGTCCCAACTAAAGAAGGATTTGATTCTCTAGAGAAGGAGAGTACGTCGGAACAAGAGACAGCTCAAAGAAGTCCCAAATCAACACAAGTACAATCGCCTCCAGAAGGAACTCTGGATCCAAGACAAGGCCAAGGGAGTCGGATCCCAATCTCAGGGCAAGGGCAAGGTCGTGGTCAAGGAAATCTAGTGCCAAACGCAAGACAAGGGCAAGGTCGTGGTCAACGAAGTCAAATGCCATCGTTTCAAGGGAGTTTCAAGCAAAGCCAAGGCACTCCTACCTTTGGACAAAGGCAAGGTACTCAAGGAAATCAAATACCTTCGTTTCACGGGAGTTTCAAGCAAGGACAGGGAACTGAGTCCGTAGGACAAGGGCAAGGTCAAGGAAGTAAAACGCCTTCGTATCAGATTGGTTACAGCCAAGGTCAGAGTACACAAATATATGGACAAGGTCAAGGTCAGGGAAGTCAAATACCTTCGTATCAGATTGGTTACAGCCAAGGACAGGGAGCTCAGACGCCTCCATGCCAAGGACCACCAAGCAATTACGGTCAAGGAGCGTTGGCTAACTACAACCAAAGATCACCACAAGGGACACAAGAAAATTATAACCAAATGGGCAGTGGGAATTACATTCAACAGAGTGGTGGAAACTATGGTCCTGTACAAGGAATAGGAAGTCCAGGATTTGGACATGGGCAAGGTCATGGAGGTCCTGTATCGTCTCCATATCAGGGGAGTTACAACCAAGGCCAAGGAACAACAATGCCAGTGCAAGGTCAAGGTCAAGGAGGTCAAGTACCTTCATATCAGATGGGTTACAGCCAAGGCCTAGGAGCTCCAGTGCCTCCGTACCAAGTAAACTACAACCAAGGAACACCAAGCAGTCATGGTCAATGGGTATTTGTGAATCCACCACATGGTAACTTTCTCCAAGGACCGCAACAAAATTACAACCAAGGTGGTCAATGGAGTTTCAGATATGGTCCTCCACAGTTTGGAAATCAAACAGCTCAGTATCAGTTGGGTTACAATCAATGGCAATGTCAAGGATGTGGAATGATTTCGTATCTGGGGAGTTACAATCAAGGCCAAGGAACACCAAATCCTGGACAATGGCAAGGTCAAGGATGTGCAGTGCCTTCTTATCAGGCGAGTTATAGCCATAGCCAAGGAGCAACGATGCCTCCACACCAAGGAAACTACGGTCAAGGGACATCTGCAAGCTTAAACCAAGGGGTTCCGGTTAACTATAACCAAACGGGGCAAGGGAATTACAATCTTCAGAGTGGTGGAAACTATGGATCGGCAGGGTTTCCACAGGAGGATAAGAGAAATGTAGCAGGTGGTGACTGGAGCAGCAACAACAATAATCATAGAGACCAAACTGAAGCCGGCAAAGTAAGTTCTCGAACATGAGCGTTTTACACAGTTGTTCTTGTCTAAAAACACCACGAAAACAGAAATCTGCAGCTCTTAATTATTGTTCTGTATCTATGTTAATTAGATGGTTCCCTTGATTTCAGATTCCACATTGAATAGGGATCTTAGCCAGAGGAATGAAGGAATTATGAAACTTGGAGGCGATCACGAACCCTTGTGATTAGAGTGGCGATCAATGAGAACATAATTTTTACAATTAAATTCCATTGGTATCTACAGGCTGGTCCTAGCTCCTAGCAACCACTGGCCGAGTGAAAAACTCAACAACTAGCGGCCGTTTTTCTGCAGTGGACGAGCATTACTTGCCGTTCTTGAAATAATAAAACACCACACAGTTCGCTATTGCGAACTCAGGCCTCAGCCTCTGATTTATTGTATCTCTTCATAAACCCGTGATGTACTTAGAAAAGACGTAAAGACTAGTGAAATGTTGTTTTTTTTTTGGTCCTTTTGTACAGATTCTTTCTTGTTTCAAATTTCCACATTGAAGAAGACCCCACCAGAGGAATAAATGAAGGAAGTGCGAAACATAGCGACATTTTTGCAATCAATAACTCTATTTTGGCAGCAAGTTCTTCACAATCTTTATGATAGGAACTACTTTTTCAAGCTTTTGAAAAAACGAAGATTCCTTTCTGCTGTTGATAACGTATAATGTTAATATATAAGATCACTATTGATGTTTAAAAATATAAAAAAGAGCACTTTGCTCTTTTTGGTCATCATCTACAGACGCTTTGAAATTTCAGAAAAAAAAAGAAACTGATTGAGACAGACAACATCAATGAATGGTGCTTCCGCGTATGAGTTCAAGCAGTGAGTAGACGTCAACGTTGACGGAAAATAATCTTTGATTACTTTTTTTTCTTCATTTTGTTCCTTTTGAAACGTTATTGCAGATCTAACTATTTGACAAATTCCAAGGAACATGGTCTCATCAATTGGAAATATTTCTCCATAATGTTACGTACAAAAGTCGTGAAGACTTAGTGAAATGTTTTTTTCTCGTTTTAGACAGTTGACTTCTTGACTCTGCAAAAAGACTTTGCACTTTTTTTTGGGTGTGTGTGCTTATATTATCATCACAAGGCAAATGCATTTTGCAGTTTGTTTCGTCACTTTGTATTTCATTTCCAGCAAAAATATGAGAAACATGAGACTCTTTCTTTCACTTGCTTTCAGTGCTCTCACGTTACTTGAAGCATACAAGTTTAACGATGAAACTGATAAGCAAGCGTTGCTTGACTTCAAGTCTCAAGTTTCTGAAGACAAAAGAGTTGTCTTGTCCTCATGGGACAGCTCATTCCCTCTCTGCAACTGGACCAGGGTTACATGTGGCCGCAAACACAAGAGGGTTATTGGTTTAGACCTTGGAGGATTTCAATTGGGCGGGGTGATATCACCATCTATTGGTAATCTTTCGTTTCTCAAAACACTTAATCTTGAAAACAACTCTTTTGATGGAACCATCCCTCAAGAAGTGGGAAACTTGTTTCGACTTGAATACTTGTTTATGGGATCTAATTTTCTCAAAGGAGAGATTCCAACAAGTTTGTCTAACTGCTCTAGATTGTTGATCATTGATTTGTTCTCAAACTCTCTGGGACAAGGTGTTCCTTCAGAGCTAGGATCATTGAAGAAGCTTCTTGTTTTACATCTTGCTAAAAATAGCCTGAAAGGAAAGATCCCTACATCTCTTGGGAACTTGACATCACTCAATCAACTTAGCTTTGCAGAAAACAATTTAGAAGGAAAAATTCCTGATGATTTTGCTAGATGGACTCAAATGGTGTCTCTTGAGTTATCAATGAATAGTTTCTCAGGTATTTTTCCTCCTGCAATTTACAATATGTCCTCACTTGTGTCTTTAAGCATCTTCAACAATCGTTTCTCTGGGAGCCTGAGGCCTGATTTTGGTAATTTGCTGCCAAAGCTTGGAGAGTTATATTTTGGAAGTAATCTTCTCTCAGGAGAGATTCCAACAACACTTTCAAATATCTCAACTCTCCGAATGGTTAATATGGAGTATAACAATCTCACAGGAACTATTCCTCCCAGCTTTGGAAAATTAAGGAGTTTGCAAGTGCTATCAGTTTATAGTAATTCTTTAGGGAGTCACTCTTTAAGAGATCTTGAGTTTATTAGTGCTTTAACTAACTGCACCCAACTCTATACCTTAAATGTGGCTAACAATTCGCTTCGTGGTGACTTGCCTACCTCTATAGCCAATCTATCCACGAACCTCATTGAGCTAAACCTCGACTTAAACTTCATCTCTGGAAGCATTCCTTATGACATTGGGAATCTTAAAAGCCTACAAAAAATTTGGTTGGGAAGAAATCTTTTGACAGGACCACTCCCAACCTCTATTGGGAAGCTTTCAGAATTGGTCTACCTATATGTCTTGTTAAATAGAATGTCAGGAGAAATACCATCTTCAATAAGCAACATCACTCGTTTAGAGAGACTATATTTGTCCAGCAATAGCTTTGAAGGAACCATTCCTCCAAGCCTTGGCAATTGTAGCTATCTGCAACATTTGGTTATGGAGGATAATAAGTTAAGCGGGGCTATACCTTGGGAGGTAATGCAAGTTTCATCACTTATGTTATTAACCATGTCACATAATTTATTGACTGGCTCTCTACCAATTGGAGGACTTACAAATATTGGTACACTAGCTGTTGTGCACAATAAGCTATCAGGGAAACTTCCAGAGGCTTTGGGAAAGTGTCTCACGATGGAAAAACTTTATTTGGGAGGAAATTATTTTGATGGAACCATTCCAGACATAAGTGGATTGGTGGGTGTTAAAGAGATTGATTTCTCGAACAATAATCTCTCTGGAGGGATACCTAGATATCTTGTGAACTTCAAGGCTTTGGAGTATCTCAATCTCTCTATTAACAACTTCGATGGAAAGGTGCCAACAGAAGGAAAGTTTAAGAATGCTTCTGTAGTTTCTGTATTTGGAAACAAAAACCTATGTGGGGGTGTCACGGAATTGAAACTGAAGCCATGCTTTTCGCTAAAACCAGCAAAGGAAGTTAAGCATTTCTCTCTTTCCAAGAAAGTTGTGATTGGTGTAAGCATAGGCATATCTTTGCTTTTGTTGTTCTTTGCAGCTTCAGTTTCTCTTTGTTGGTTCAACAAGGAAAAGAAAAAAAAACCCGATGAAGCAACTCTTTCCACCTTGGGGGCTTTCCACGAACAGATAAGTTATGGAGATCTTCGAAACGCAACGGATGGTTTCTCATCGAGTCACTTGATTGGGTCAGGCAGCTTTGGTACTGTGTTTAAAGCTTTACTCCCAGCAGATAAAAAATTTGTGGCGGTGAAAGTTCTAAACATGCAGAGACGCGGAGCAATGAAAAGTTTTATGGCAGAATGTGAATCCTTGAAAGACATAAGGCATCGTAATCTTGTGAAGTTATTGACGGCTTGTTCGAGCATTGATTTCCAAGGAAATGAATTCAGAGCTCTAATCTATGAGTTCATGCCAAATGGAAGCTTGGATATGTGGTTGCACCCGGAGGATGTGGAAGAGATTCATAGGCCCTCAAGAACATTGACTCTTCTTGAAAGGCTTAACATAGCGGTAGACGTGGCTTCTGTTTTGGACTATCTTCATGTCCATTGCCATGAACCTATAGCTCATTGTGATCTTAAGCCAAGTAATGTCCTTCTAGACGATGATATAACCGCCCATGTTAGCGACTTTGGTTTGGCTCGGATCCTCGACCAGGAATCATTCCTCAACCAACTCAGCTCGGCAGAAATCAGAGGAACCATTGGCTATGTTGCACCAGGTAAAACTATCACAAATTTGTAATTCTTTAAAAGAAAGAAATTAGTAATATTCTTTTATTGCTCTAATAATTTTTCCTGTGAATTTCGGTGCAGAGTATGGAATGGGAGGGCAGATATCAATACATGGTGATGTGTATAGCTTTGGTATTCTTCTTTTGGAAATGTTCAGCGGAAAACGACCAACCAATGAGCTGTTCGGAGGAAGCTTCACCCTCCACAGCTACATCAAATCTGCATTGGCAGAGAGAGTAGTAGAAGTTGCGGACGAGATGATTCTTAACAATGGACTTAGAATTGGCTTCCCTATTGTTGAGTGCTTGAAGCTGGTTTTGGAGGTGGGACTTAAGTGTGGTGAAGAATCTCCTGTGAACCGGTTGGCAATGAGTGAGGCCGTAAAAGAATTGATCTCAATCAGAGAAAAGTTCTTTAGATCCAGAAGAAGAGCTAGGCATTGAAGTCCTCTACAAACGTGAAGACTTGTTTGGAAGGTATTAGATATCACCTTCATGGTAAGTGTTTGTTTTTTCTTCTATATTTGCAGATTAATGTCAATGAATGCTTTATGTTACATGCAGATAAATGGTGAATTTTGTGTTACTATGTTAAAGCCGCCGCAAGCGTATTTTATTGATGAGGCTGGTGTAGTCAAATTATACAAATAAAAATAAATACTCAGAACAGAGGATTTGGTTTTCTGTGTGTTTTCACCAAATGTTGTGTTGTTACGTTATTTACAGACAAAAGATGAATGTTGTGCTATCAGTTTTTATTTAGGATTTCTTGGCTTTTGTAATTCTTTTGTTTTTCTACTTTCATTATGTCATGTTGTTATGGTGCTTATGAACAATATGATAATGTTTGATTATTAAGAGTTGAAAGGCTTCACTAGCGTTGGCGAGTAATCTTTGTACATGTTAGGTTCTACATATAACTGGCAAAAACCAAATCTTTGTACATATTAGGTTGTTTCTATTAGTTTTTTTAGCTGTATATATTAAAAGTTTGTGGATTTGAAGAACTGGCAAAAATCTAAGGTTTTTGCGTTTCTTGCAAATCTCCCTATTGGTTTGTCAAACTTTTGGTTACAAAACGATGAAAAAATAAAGGATCGTTGAAGCTGTGTGGATTATATTTTTAAGCCATACATTTTTAAGGTTGAGAAGAAAACTGTGTTATGAAGATATAAGATCACTTATTTTAACATTGTTAGAAGGCCAAAGTCAAAATGATATGCATATATCTATAGAAACTCAGATTCAATAAACAAATCAATAAAAATTCGCAAATTCAAATCCAAAATCTAACAGACCCACAAACAGGAAACATTAATTTTCCAAGGCCACAATTCAATATGGGATGGATAGTTCGAAACTTGTAGATTTATTACCAATTAAGTTACTACTGCGGTTAAAAAAAAAAAGAAGAGAACGAAAAAATAGTTATTAGTAAACTTAACATCAACGCAATCCAACTACTATAAATTGTCGAAACTACACAAAATAGAGAATCATGAACCCTTCTGACTTCTGAGTTCTGATTAAAGACTTATAGTGGCAAGCAATGAGAAATATAAAATTATAACAGAGAAAAACGAATAGTGTGCAACCGTTAATCCATTGTCGTCGAGCACTGCTTGCCGCTTTTCAGTGATAAAACACCACACACTTTCACATCATCAGCCTCTCATTTATTTCTTCACAACAAAGTAAACCCATAATGCACGTTTTGACTACGAAAAAACCATGATGAACGTCAAGCACTAGTGAAATGGTTGTGTCCTTGTAGACAGTTGACTACTTGGCCTACTTGAATTTCGAAAAGTCTTGTAGTGTTCTTTAAGTTGCAATATCATCACAAGGTAATTAAAAGCATTTCGATTTTGCAATTTTTTTCGTCTCTCAGTATTCCTTTCCTGCAAAAATATTAGAAGGATAACTCTTTTTTTTTTACTTTCTTTCAGTTCTCTTATGTTACTCTAGTGCATACAAATTTACCGATGAGACTGATAAGCAATCAATGTTCAAGTTCAATCTCAAGTTTCTTAAGTTCAAAAAAAAAAAAGAATCTCAAGTTTCTGAAGACAAAAATGTTGTATTGTGTTTAGAAAAAACCCTAAAACTTAAAAAAAAGTTAATGACAGATATCAATATGTAGCAGCATTTCAAAGTTAATTTAGTAAATAACATAAATATTAAAAAAATTAACGACATGTGAAAATATTAGATAACGCATGGCAACGTTATCAAAATATTAGATGAGGCGTGGCATTTCTACTTGGTTTTATCTTGCTGTGCTAGTCGTTGTCCCTTTATGTTTTTTGAATTTTCATTCCTTTGTGAAATTGCCAGAGAAAACTGTATCTCAAATCTATATCTCACTATGTATCTTTGTCCTTATGGGACAAAGCACATGCACGATCATGCCACTTTGGATCAATGAACATATTGAGTTTCCATAGCTGGTGTCCAAAGAAGATACTACAATGAATGGGCTTCGTGTGAGAAGCAGAGATAAGAGAATATATATTAAGAGTTGGGTTAAGGGTTTTAGGTCAGCCGAAACCGAGGTGAGCGAAAACTGAAGAGAGAGTTTAGGTTTTAGCGATTGTGAGAGATCATTGCTGTTGCTGTGTTCGGTAGATTAGGAATTAGTTAGTGTCAAATTGCAGGTGCAACATTGTGTAATTTTGATTAAACAAGTCTATAAAGATTGTTTAAAAGATTCTTAAAAAGAAAAGTTTTGCAATTCTGTTGATCACTTTGTGTCACTCGTTTATTGCATAACCTTCAAGGTTCATTGGTTTAACATTTGGTATTAGAGCGGATCACCTTATTTGTTCATTTGAACTAACTAACAAGTTGAGATCTTGTGGGAACCATGAAAACCATGAAGGAGCTCATTGCTGTTCAAAAACCAGTTATGCTTGATGCTGAAAACTTTGGTCATTGGAAAGCCAGAATAAGACATATCATTCGAGGTATTGATGATGATGCATGGACAGATGTTGTGGAAGGATGGGAACCACCTACAATCCTAGTTGAAGAGAAATCAGAAAATAAAACAATACCAACTCGAACAATGTGAAACCTAAGCCAAAAGACAGATGGACTGAAGCTGAAAAGAATGCATCCAAGTTCAACTTGAAGGCCATGTCCACAATTTTTGCTACAGTTGACTTAGATTAATTTAAGATCATTTAAGGCTGTGACTCGGCTAAGGAAGCATAGGACGCATTAGTAAACCACTTCGAAAGAGACACCAGTGTGAGAAGAACTCGCATAGATCACATTACCTCACAATTTGAAAATCTAAAGATGATTAAAGATGAATCTATTGCAAGTTTCACTGGAAAACTTAGTACCATAGCCAATGAAGCTTCAGTCTTGGGAAAGAAGTACAAAGAAAAGAAGCTGGTGAAGAAGCTACTTAGGTGTCTTCCTCCCAAATATGCTGCTCATAAAGCTGTTTTGAAATACTCCATGAACACTGACGACATGAAGTTTGATCGTCTCTGTAGAATGCTTAAAGCTAAGGAAATGGAATCTAGAGTTGAAGAACCTATTATTCAGAAGGAAAGAGCATTTAATACAAAAACCAAAAATGTTAGAGCCAAACAGATTGAAGAGAATCTGAGTCTCATGGCTAGGAATTTAAACAAGATGTTAAAGAGGGTTGAAAAAGGACAGAACATGACCTTCATAAAAGGTCAAAGAAGTGAGACTGATAGAGGACAGAGATATGATGGTGAATGTTTAGGGAAGAAAAAAGATCTACAATGTCATGAGTGTGAAGTTTTGGTCACTTTAAGAATGAATGTCTGTTAGATAAGAGAAAAGAATTGAAATGTTCTGAATGTCATGGTTTCGGACATACCAGAGCTGAGTGTCCCAGATTTACAAGAAGCAAAGAAAGGTCCTTAGTAGTCTTCAGCGACAGTGAATCTGAAGGAAGTGACAGCTCTGATCAAGAATGTATGCTCAACTTGTCGCATTTGCAGCTCAAAATAAACTAATCACTACCAAGGGTGGATCAGACACGGAATCTGATACTGATAGTGAAAGAGAATTTGACTTGACACAAGAATACAGTAATCTTTGCAACAAGTATGTTGCTCTGGATATTGAAAACTTGCAGCTTATCAAGGAAGTGGCTATGATGAAGGCGCAACTGAATATTTTAGAGTGTGAGAAAGATGAATCTTCAAGAGAAGTTGGGTCGTGTTCCAAAGACCCTGCAGCAGAAGCTGAACATCTGAGAAAGGAATTAGATAGTGAAAAGGAAAGAAATAGAGTCTTGGCAAAAAAATGTGAAACACATAATGTCAGCTTGTGCAAAGGAAGAAGAAAATGCGAGAAAACTACTTCATGAGCTGAATGATAACCACAAAAAGATACAGATGCTGAATTCATGTACCAAAGATTTGGACAAAATCTTGTCTATGGGACAACCACCTAAGAGTAACTGGGATCTTGGATTTAATTGGAGCTACCAGTGGATCACAGAACAATTCACTCAACTTGTCTAACTTCACTGCTGGATCTCTGAATCCATCTGTAGAAAGCAAAGGTTCACTCACGGTTGTGAAGAAGATTATTAACACTGATTCGTCAAAGCATAAAGCTGTTGTTCCACTTGGAGGTTCTAAACACAGAACTAAGAGAAGATGCTATCCCTGCAAAAACCAAGGACACTTAAGAAAAGAGTGTCAGTTGCTCTTGCATAGAAACATTGTTGTTCAAGCCTGGAAGAGCAACAAATGTTTTCCAGAACCAAGCTGTTTCGGCAAAGTCTGGATAGCCAAATCAGAGCTCTACTGTACTATGTCCGAAAATATTATACAAATTGGGGAGATTATCTGTAACCACTCTCTAATCTACATGCACATTTCAGATGATGATTTGGGAGCAGAAAATGAAACCATCATAAACAATGTTGTGTACATGACAACCTACAATCAAGACCAAAATCCCTGGTATTTTGATAGTGGTTGCTCACACCATATGACAAGGTGTCAAGAAGTTCTTGACACATACTTAGTTGTCAAAGGAGGCAAAATCACTTTTGGTGATGGCGGTCGAGGAAAAATCAGAAGAGTTAGAAACATGAAACATGACGATAAGCATGAGTTGATCAACATATAATATGTTGGAGGACTAAATGCCAACTTGATTAGCATAAGTCAACTATGTGATGAAGGGCTTAAAGTTGTGTTTACTCAGGTAGGCTGCCAAGCGAATGATGAAAACGGAACTGTTGTTCGGTCTGGAGTAAGATCTAGAAATAACTGCTATATGTGGAGCCAAAATGATAAATGTTTAACAGCTCGGGAGACTCAACTTGATTTGTGGCACAGAAGACTGGGACACATGATTGTTCATGGGCTGATCAAGATTGTTAAGGCAGAAATCGTGAGAGGTATTCCCAAACTAGAAGCACCAACATATACTATGTGTGA